CCAAACCACACCATTAGTGATTATATGGAGAAGTGATTCTTCATGAAAATGATTATTGACATTTCCATAATCATTCCCAAACGAGCCCTTACTCACATCACATTATACCCTTACAAAAGTGGGAAATAGACCGCTTTGCTCCCGGCTCCTATGCTTTATTCAATAATGCCCTCTTTTCGAAACTCATTCAAAAACACCCTCTGTAAAAGCTCCCTATTAGAAGCGCATTGCCTTTTTTTCTTTTTCTTTTTTCTTTTTTGTCGATTCTCATTCGCTTATTTTTCTTTTCTTCTCCGCTGTTTGTGGTCTCTTTCTCGTATAATTTTTGCATGTTCCGACTACACCACGTAGACTTGGAAATAAAGGTGATACAACGGCAATATAGAGGCAATACAACGACAATAAGAAGGCAATACAAAAACTCCATACTCCCAACTATATAATTTTATTTCCAAGAAAGACTTGGAAATAAAGGTGATACAACGGCAATATAGAGGCAATACAACGACAATAAGAAGGCAATACAAAAACTCCATACTCCCAACTATATAATTTTATTTCCAAGAAAGACTTGGAAATAAAGGTGATACAACGGCAATATAGAGGCAATACAACGACAATAAGAAGGCAATACAAAAACTCCATACTCCCAACTATATAATTTTATTTCCAAGAAAGACTTGGAAATAAAGGTGATACAACGGCAATATAGAGGCAATACAACGACAATAAGAAGGCAATACAAAAACTCCATACTCCCAATTATATAACTGACAATCAATATACATGCAATAAACATGCAATAAACAAGCAATACGTGGCCAATATGGAGCTTTTATAGATGGTGTTTTTGAATGAGTTTGAAAAAGAGGGCATTGTTGAAAAAAGCATTGGAGCCGAGTGCAAACCGCCTATTTTCCCTTAAAAAAAGTGTGTAGGAGGGAGCTGGCTGGGAGGGATGAAAGAGAATGAAATGAATGAATGAAACAAAAACAAGAAAATGCAAACACCTTTATAAAATATTTATATTTGTTCATACACATTTTATGTGATTCGCATTCGCAGGACAATTTTGAGATGAGAAATATTAGGCATTGCCCCGCCCACCTACCAAGGGATCAAAAAGCCAACATACAAGTGCAATTTCCACGATTCAATTGTAAGTAACAAATAAACGTATTATTCATGCGTCGGTGTTGGTTGTTGGTGTCGGTGTATGGGATTGTTCCAACCATTTAATTTAGCATCCAACCAACATCAGAAGTTAGACTAGAGAAACAATCAATTCAAACAAAAAACCGGGAAAACAACAAGAGCCAACCAGAATTTACTTTCTCACTGAATTCACCACTAAATAGAAAAGGGCAAAACACAACCCTCCTATCTGCTTTTGTATTTACCTGTACACTGAAAATTTGGAAAGCATCCCAGATATTATCAGTTGAACTCATACTTGGCTTGGCTTAACAGGCGAAACAATTGACATCACTTAAACTCAACCACAATTCTACGGACACCAATTAAATTTTGTTAACCCCTAGAAAAGCAACAATGTTTCTCGCGTCTTTACAGCAAAATGCTTGTAGAATTGGCCACATAAAACCATGTTCTTCCCATCACAATGCTGGTTTTGGTGTGCTGCTTTAAGGACTACGCAAACTCCACAGGTGGTCAACCACATCACAGGAACTGCTAAGGTGTTGAAAGTCAGACCGGTGAAGAACAGTCCCTTGGGTTTGTCTAGCCCTGTGCTCGGGGGGGACCATTTGGTTTGTCTTGGCTGAACAGCAGTGGCGCACACAGACACGATGAT